CAGGGCCATTTACTAAAGGCACAAATAGTTCTCCATCCCTCAATAAGGAAGTCATTCCTGTGTTAAACTACATTATGGTAATTTTTGCCATCATGTTGTTTTTCAGCTTTATTGATGCATTTGCCAAAAAGAGTTATATGAAATACACTCAGTAGGTTAATTTAGTGACTTATTCTTCCTACATACATGTTTAGAGGTTTTAGCTAAAATAGATATTATATGGAGAATGTTTAATAGCACCTCATAAACATTCATTGTTTAATTCAAGCTTGTTTCTTGAAATGTCTTAAGCTCTTGAATTGCCTAATTTCTCAGGGATTGCCTTAGTTGGTAGCTATATTCACGGCCCACATTGAAATTTCACTTGTTTAAATTACGACAGTTACTTGTTAACTTCTGGAAACCATGCAAAATTATTTTAATATCCATGTTTACAGATTCAAAGACAGTTTTTTCTACATTTAGTATTTCCAAAATTGGGTTCTGTTTTATAACTTTGTTTACATTTTCTATGAAAAGTTGTTTTAAATCAGTGACTCATCTTTCAGAAGAATACTCTGCATATGACATCTGTCCATTTCAGTATTGTCAAAGCCAAAATCGGAAACAAGCCATACCATCAACACGGGATTGACTAAATTACAGCAAATTCATACATGGGATTTTATGCAAAGCTTGAGCCACCAAATAAGAATATCGAACATGGATTGTTCAGTGTGATGTTTACTAAGGTTAAACGTGCAGGGCAAACAAAGTTCTTTCTTCTTAAATACTTAGTCTACAGTCCTTGTGGTTGGATGGTAGTACCCTCTATTATATAATAAAAACCTCATGGTTAGACATTTCTCCACTCAAATAAATGCTATTATTTAAAAAAAAAAAAGATACAATGAAATCATTTAGCTAGCTTTAAAAAATTTATTATAAAAATGGGAAAATATCAATTTAATATGAAATAGAGTAAAAGAATTGCTATTAATTCTGTGATTTAAACACATTTCACCCCCAAATAACTTACAAACTTTTTCAAAATGAAAAGGAGCCTCTGTAATCACACTCTACATTATGGTAGCCACTGGACCCGTATGGCTATCAAGCATTTGAAATGTAGCTAATCTGAACTGAGACGTCCTGTAACTATAAAATACAAACTAAATACTAAAGACTTACTGGAAACAAACACAAAATAGTCCATTAATAATTGGTGATTTCAAAAATATTAATTACATGTTGAAATGCTAATGTTTAGGACATATTACTCAAATTAATTTATCTATTTCTTTTTAATTTTTTTGTGGTGGGGACTAAAAAATTTAAAATTATGTATTTGCTGACATTTTATTTCTATTGTACAGTACTGCTCTATAACTTGGGTTTCTTACAGACTCAGAAACCTCAAAGGTCTCGTTTTTGGCTAAAACTGAAAATAAATTAGTGAGGCAGCACTTACTATTTGATTTTCACACTCCTTTGGACTTTAAAAAATTTTTTTCTGATCAAGACAACAACCAGAAAAAAAGCCAAATTACATGGGCAGATCTTCCTCTAAGACCTCATCTTTCTATCAGTAGGCAATTATGTTAGTAAACAACACTACAGGTGTGGTTGCCCTGACCTCCTAGCTCATACTCTCTGTTACAGTGGAAAGGCCACATCTTTTTATGACTGTCACCTGCTGCTTCCAGTAGTGATTTCCAGACCTAACTTTCTTAAAGGGCTAAATCATCTTTTTCTCCATGGGTATTTTAAACATTGGCTACTGAAAATATGACTATACTTTCACACAGTTGTTTCTTGCATAAAGGATTACTCAGGTAACCCTGGAAGCAAGTCAAAGGTCAATAGGTATGATACCATTTATCCGTTTGGGGCACTTCCCTTGTATTCTTAATTTCTTGTGTGTTTTTATCATGAAAAGGTGATGAGTATTTTCAAATGCTTTTTCTGCATCTACTAAAATGATCAGGTAAATTTTGCCTTTTGTTAATCTGGTATATTTCATTAAATGATCTTCAAATGTTAAACTAAATTTGTATTCTTAGAATAAATTCCACTTGATCGTGGACTATAGTTCTTTTCATATGTTGTTGGGTTTGACTTGCTAATATTTTGAGGTGATTTTTGTTTGTTTGTTTTGTTTTGTTTTTTACAGTCCTTGACATCTTTTTGAAAGATATTTTGATGGATAAAGAATTTTTGGTTGGAGACTTTTCTTTTATATTTTAAAGATAGAGTCTGGACTGCATAGTTTCTGATGTTATAATTTATTATTATTTATTTAATTTTTAACAGTTTCATTACTTATATATTTATTTTAGCATAATTTACTTTTAAAATTTGTTTCTCTATAAACTACTCTTTTCTGTGACTACCTTCAAACTGCTCTAGTTAGGCTTGATTTTTAGCAACTTGACTGTGATATGTGTAAGTATATTTTTCATTGTATTTATCTTGCTTGGGATTTTCTGAGATTAACGCTTATATGGTTCTACATCTTTCACTAGTGTTATAAAATTTGTGACCATTGTATCCTCAAATAATTTTTCTACCTCATTGTCTGTCTGTCTGTCTCTCTCTTTCTCTCACTCTCTGGTACCTCAATTATACATGTGTTAGACCACTTACAACTTATTTTCAGATACTGTATAAGAATGTGTATTTCAGACTAATGTATTTACACCTGGAAGTGATGATTCTTCTATCTGACTGTCAGTGTAGGTTTGTCAGTGTTGACAGGGGCGGAGACGGATTGGGCTTTTGTTTTTGCTCTATTTATCTTTAGCGTATCACAGGCTTCAAATTCTTCTGATGGGGATTGAAACTTCCTTACTTGGTCTGGAACTTGGAGTGCTTGAGAGTGTTTTGTTAGTGTTACTAACACTAACCTACTCTCAGCCTTCAGTGGGTCTAATATGCCTGCACCACAGAGGGGACCTCCCTCTGCTCCCTTACCCACCTATATTGGTATAGTGCCCCTGATTTGTATTCATGCAAATCTCATAATGGAAGCAGGGGATAGGTTCCCCTGGACCAGCCACAATCTTTGTCCTGAGTGTCTGAGTCTCAAGGGTTGGACTTTGCTTGTTTTGGTGCCAGGTCTCGGGAAGGTATAATGTTCTTGCTCCTCCCTCTTTGTCAGATGATTTGTATTTCTACCCTTCCTTCTCGTGGGTGAAACAGGATGTTTTCCTGCCTCTCTTTGGGTGAAACAGGATGTTTTCCTGCCTCTCTTTCAAGGACAAATAGCTTTTCCTCTGTTCCTCTTGCTTTGCAAGTGACTAGAGGACAGGAGAGTTTCCTGCCTCAATCCCAGAGACAGAACTGCTTTGGCTTTGCTTGATAAAAGGCTCAGGAACATGAAACTTCAGAGCAGGAAGGTAAGCAATATTCCCTGGTTCTTCCTCAGTATCAGCCTACTCCCCGCCCCCCCCCCCCATCAAATGCATTCCTCACTAAGGAGGGCTCCCTTGCTCTGTCAGATGGCAGAGATCTGATTTATGGGTGTGGATTCCCCTTGTTTTTGAGGTTCCTGGGGTTTCTAAACCATTATGCTACCCCTCACTTGTTCTTTAAGAATTAAGAATTCAAATGTTTTCTTTTTATCATCTTTTGTGGTTGCTTACCTCCTCCTTCTGTGTTCTACCAAAGGCGAGCTCATGTATCTCATCCTTCTTCCTAGGAGTTTGCTTCCCTCTGGAAGCAATCCCCTGGTTGCTTTGCAAATGTAGCTCTCCAATGGGCTTAAAAGTGATAATTTTTTATGTTATCCAGGGTTTTTTTTTTCTTTTGGTTATTATTGTCATTAGAGTCAGGTGACATTCTGTTTGGCTCTGTATTCTGAAAGAAGCAAAAAGTCTTAGAATAATCTCTTTTGAACAGAGCCATCTTTTCCCCTCTGCCCTCATGCAGTGCCCAGTTGGGTACCAAAGCACAAGGATGAGTCCCCCTGCTTTCCTCCTTCCTAGGCATCCTATTTCCCTTATGCTTATTAATGTCATGAAGCAATGTGAGGGGATATCCTAGTTGAGAATGATGAATATGGAAAAACCAGGGCATTTTTTCTACTTATGTAGTGATTGTTTCTTTGACAAACTAGGTCTTGTACTAAAGGCAAAATAACATTTCTACCCACTGATCGATATATTGTAAGGCAAGCTGAGGATTCAGGTTGGAAGTAGTGTCTGTGGTACCCTTTTCCACAGCTCTTCTCAGTGATTTTTCTCCTAGCACTTGCCAGCTGCACAATATTTTGTTGAAGACTTGGATTGTTTTTAGTAACACGATGTCTAATCCATTGGAAGGAAGATCCTTTCATTTCTCCTGTTAAGTCAACCGGCCTGTATATATGGCCTGAATAACTTACATATCTGTCTGAGAAAAGAAAGCTGATAAGAAGGTGAATTTTGAACCATAAAAATATACAAGTTTCTTAATCTACTACTGTTCTCCTATATTCTTTTTTTTTCAGTAAACTTTTTATACCTGAGAAAGTAAAACATACCCTGGGTCCCATCCCCCTCTTTAGGGAGGAAAATAATAATGCTTTCTACTCTTGATTAAGGATAGTTTCTAGGGCAAAAATGTCTAGGTGTAAAACACTTAAGAGAATTCCTTGGGGGTATTTTATGATCTTTGCTGGTTTCTCTAAATGTGGTACAAGTGTCTTTTTCATGTCTCTCATTTCTCCTGGTCCTTTAACAATTTTCAGGTTGTTTATAGTGAGATCATCCAGTTCAAAAAACATTACAATAATGTTATACCATTAGATAAGTCTGGAGAAATCGGGGGAGAGTTCCAGTATTGACTCACTGCACATTTCTCTTTCCTTGCTTCCTAAGAAAAAGTCTTAAATCTAGCATCTTTTGACTTCCATGAGAATTACTCTGGCACCCCCTGTTTGTGTTATCAATGATCAGAATCTAGTAGTACTAGCTTCCTTCCTTCCCCACCCCCACTCCTCTTCCCCACGTGGAAGCAGAGAAGGAAACAGCCTTGGAAGTTCTCTCTGGGCAACTGTCAGCCTTTCAGGGACGTTTGCTTTCTGCCCAAGGAGAAACGTTCCCCTCTGGAGGCTTGGGCTGCAGGCAGCTCTGGGGGCCACCAGTTCCCAGACGTCCAGACCGGCTGGCCTTTCAGTAGAGCTGGTAGAGCAGGAAACCCCTGGAAGCAACAGGGCACACCTCCTCTGGCCCAGTGCCGCCCTCTGTGAACCAACACCTCAGCCTCCGCAGGCCATCAAGCCGCCATGCCAGACGCCCTAGCGGAAGTGGAGCCGAAGGCTGCCCAGCCTCAGGTTGCTGAAAATCCTTTGGAGACGGAACAGGCAAAGCGCAAGAAAAAACCCAAGCTTTTGAAGATGGTTCCCACTAGCTTGATCAAGTTCCACACTTTCCAAAACAAAGAAAAAAGTCAGGCTGGGGCCACATCCCCCATTACGAAGAAGCCAAAAGAAAATTTGGAGGGTCCCTGCGGCTTGGGCTGTATAGTTATTTCCAGATGTCAGCGTTTCAACACGCTCCATTGCTTCCTGGTTTTCTACTGCCTCCTGATCACGTCTCAAGGTGAGCTTGAGTGGGGGTGGCGGGCATTCTGGGGAGGGCAGCCCCAGGGCGCCTTGGGACAGGCGTGAATGGGGGACCCCCTGTGGTGACCCAGCTTGAAGCAGCTGTAGTCGCTCAGGTTCTCAAGGTCAGTCTGGAATCACAGCAGGTTAATCGGGCCATTACCTTGGGTGTGTACCCCTGTCATGGCTTTACCTCGGAAGGTACGTGAGTGACAGCCTGGCCTCCAAATAGGAAGGGGCTGTAGAGTCATTTAACGTTGTTTGGTCAGGGATCCTGGGAAGTACAGGGTTGAATTAACTGGGGAGATTAAAATAAAATTGAATATGGTGTTTGTGAGCACCAGTTTGTTTTCTGTTTCTCCTTACAATTTTGAGACTGGCTGGCCAAACTGCTTGTTGCCTGGATTTGGTATCCTCACATGTGAACTGAGGAGGTGAAGTGGGACCTCAAACAACCTATACCAGAGAACTCAGACTGGAAAGTGTTTTATCTTTGCCCACACAGTTAAACAAAGCATGTGAATATGAATGCCCTTAGAGGGGGTGTCTGTTCTTTATTTGGCCTCAGCCCTCACCACTCCCTTTATGCTCAAGATTCTTTACTATCCTGTTAACACTGATGGCATTGAAGTTTCCTGGACATGATCTCTCTTTTTGCCCTAAAATGTTATTTCTAAATAAGTACAATAAAAAGGCTGTGTGTGATAAGAACCACACGAAAGGGACACATAAATAGCGATAATTTTATCTTGATTTTATTAAAGAAGTTTCTTGGGGAAGAGGTGTTTGAATCATGCCCTGATAAATAGGGTACAGTTGTGATAATGGAATGTAGTTAAGGAGTATTATATAAGAAAATGAATGTATGAATGAGTGAATGTTTGGATAAATAAACACTCAGATACAGGAAAGCCTTGTTCCAGAATGGTGAGTGATGAGTTTAGCTTGGATAATGGTTTCACTTAAGCATCCAAAGGCAATTATATTTGTTTTATTCATTGTGTCTCCTTAAGACCTAATTATAGTGACTAAGACAGAAAAGACACTCATAAGTATGTATTAAATGCATAAATGAATTAAAAAAAAGGAAAAGACAATTTTATGAAGGTCTTTAAGTGACAGACTAGAGATTTTGAGAGGACACTGAAAGTTGTTCACTTCCTCCTAATGTGCTGGGTGACGAGTAAGGTGCTTTACAGGTATTCTCTCACTGATATAATCTCCTTACTAGGTTGATAATGGGGAGCCATTGAAAGTTTTGGCAAAAGTAGTTCGCAGTGAAGTTTTTTAGCTCCACTACTTTTTAATTGACTTCATATAGATCATTAGCTTAGTTTGGGTATAACATTGGGTCTTCGATTTATAAAAATGATTTATCCATGTGTATTTACCAGTTGATCTATTTATTATTTGTTGTTACCTTTTAAACAATTTTATGAAAAGGGTGCAAAGTTGATACAAAGGATTCCTGCGTCCCCTCACACACATTCTCTAGTTGTTTACATTTCACCACATTTGTTCCTTCACCTTTTCTTGAATGTACAGACTTTTTCAGACATGGTGTCTATTATAGCTAAAGACTCCAGTGTGCATTCTCCCAAAATGAGGACACTCTTCCTCCTAACCACTATACACCTTTCTCAGTCAGGGATATCAGTGCCACACTACCATCAAATTTGGAATTGGTGGCCTCACTCAGATATTGCCAACTGCCTCAATACTGTCTCCTTTTCCTTTCTGGTACCAAACCATTCCAGGATCACACAATGGATTTAGTTGTCCTATTTTAGACTTCTTTAATCTGCAGCAGTTCCCCCACTTTCTCTCTGTTTCTTATGTCCCTGCAAGTCTTAGGGTCTTTCATTCTGTATGTTGAATTTCAACCTGGGTATATTTGATGTGTCTTTATGACCAGATTCAGGTCGTGCCTGCCTGATTGGATCCAGGCTACTATGAAATTGATATCAGGCGTAGTCCCAGAAGATATATCCATAAAGGTGGGATTTTAGTGGGTGATGGGTCATCATTTTTGGCATGTAGTGGCATCATAATGAATCAAGCTATCGCTTATGTTTGATTGGGATGAAGTACCATCTGAAGTACAGATCTTAAAAGCCCAAGTGGCTCTACGCTTTACCTGATAGTAGCGATAATGACTATAAGGATTCTGGTGCTGGATGGAATCTTCTGAGTGCCCTTAAGCACTTATGAAGAGAAAATGTCCAATTCAGTTCTCTTAACTCTCAGCTCTCAAGCCCTGTCTGAGAACCCTGGAGCTTCCTTCACAGCCCTAAAAGAAGTTCTCATTTCTTTTAGCCATAGATTTTATATTTTGGGGAATCAAACACAAAATTTAAGTGTATGGGCTGATGAATTGTAATGGCAGTTGAATGCACAGCCAGGTTTGTCCTCTTCTGTTACATATCCAGTAAGAGTTGTTGATTTTTTAGTCTGTTACTTGTTAGGACAGAATGGTGATTACCAGACTTCTTACATGTAGACCTGGAATGGTATATAAGTTTGTGCGACAGCACATTTCATTTTTCTGGATTTTATACCCAGGATTGGAATTGCTCGGTCCTATAGTAACTTTATGATTCACTTTTTAAATATTCTGTAGGCTTATCATATATGTGTTTTATGGGTTTGAGGAAGTTGTCTTCTATTCCTAGTTCATTGAGTATTTTTATTAAAAGTGTTTTGGGTTTTGTTAAATGCTTTGTCTCTCTCTCTCTCTGTGGGTGTGTTTTGCCCATTATTATATTAATGTAATGAATTACATTGATTCACTTTCATATTTTGGTAGAAGTCCCATGGATTTCACATTTAAATTTGGTGAAGCATTCAAAATAATCATAAATAGAAAAAAAAAAACTTATTTGAGGAGTTCTGTCTTATAAGGTATTTGTCAAAAATTCTCTGAATGGAGTATTTTGGCTGAAATATTTCAGTGGAAAACAAAGAGCTTCATACATTATTTAGTAGTGTTTTCCTTGAGCTTGCTAGACATTTATGCACCTGTAGAGAGGTTTTCTATTAAAATGGAGAGTCATTAGAAGTGGAAAGTCATTTGAAGTCATTTATTTTTTTTTTATTTTTTTTTTTAAAGATTTTATTTATTTATTTGATAGAGAGACAGTGAGAGAGAGCATGAGCGAGGAGAAGGTCAGAGAGAAGCAGACTCCCCGCGGAGCTGGGAGCCCGATGCGGGACTCGATCCCGGGACTCCAGGATCATGACCTGAGCCGAAGGCAGTCGTCCAACCAACTGAGCCACCCAGGCGTCCCTTGAAGTCATTTATTAAGTCATTTATTATGTTGGAGGTACCTATGACCTCATTCAGGCTCAGTGATTCAATAGAAGAATGTGGGACTCAGAGAAAGATGTTATATTCATGGTTATGATGTATTATAATAAAAGGATACAGATTAAAATCAGTAAAGAGAAAAGGTACATGGGACAAAATCTAGAAGAAACCAGGTCCAAGCTTCCATGTATCTTTTCCCAGAGGAATTGCATGGACATGCTTAATTTTCCCCCCAACAATGTGTTGTAATACATGCAAACAGTTGCCAGACCAGCTTATGTGAGCCTTGGTGTTTTTGGTTGGGGGGGCGCATAAATTATCTGATCAAACAGATGTTTACCTTAGATGACCTTGTTTAATATAAGCTGTTGAATCAGACTGGTTCTGTGTGGTCCAAGGCCTCAGGCAGAATATTCCAAAGGCTCAGAGTCACTTTCTGGGAGCCAATGAATGGCCAGTCTTGAAGACAGGCATTTTTTGAGCAACCAAGACCTGCTGACTTATCCCTTTACTGCAAAACTATACAAAACAACATGGATGAATTGCAGCTAATTTCAGGGGAACAATCAGGAAAAAAGATCATATTAAAATGTATTCTTCAGAGAAAAATATGAATAACGTCTTATTAGAGGTAAGTATGGCTAAGAAATTAAAGTATGTGGAGTGCATATCAAGAATCATATTCTTTTATTTTTCCAAAGTTACGATATCTAATATAAAGGTGTTTGAAAAGTTTTTTCTTAATTTTTAATTTTTTATTTATATATAATGTATTACTAGTCCCAGGGGTACAGGTCTGTGAATTGCCAGATTTACACACTTCACAGCACTCACCATAGCACCTACCTTCCCCAATGTCCATAACCCAACCACCTTCTCCCTCCCCCCCGCCAGCAACACTCAGTTTTTTTAGTGAGATTAAGAGTCTCTTATTGTTTCTCTCCCTCCCAATCCCATCTTGTTTCATTTTTTCCTTCCCTATCTCCTAAGCCCCCCACTTTGCCACTCAACTTCCTTATATCAGGGAGATCATATGATAATTGTCTTTCTCTGATTGGCTTATTTCACTCAGCATAATATCCTCTAGCTCCATCCACGTCATTGCAAATGTCAAGGAACCATATCTTTTGATGGCTGCATAGTATTCTGTTGTATTTATGTACCACTTTTTCTTTATCCATTCATCTATTGATGGACATCTAGGTTCTTTCCATAGTTTGGCTATTGTGGACATTGCTGCTATAAACATCCGGGTGCACGTGCCCCTTCAGATCACTATGTTTGTATCTTTAGGGTAAATACCCAGTAGTGTGATTGCTGGGTCGTAGGGTAACTCTATTTTCAACTTTTTGAGGAACCTCCATATTGTTTTCCAGAGTGGTTGCACCAGCTTGCATTCCCACGAACAGTGCAGGAGTGTTCCCCTTTCTCTGCATCCTCGCTAGCATCTGTCGTTTCCTGACTTGTTAATTTAGCCATTCTGACTGGTGTGAGGTGGTATCTCATTGTGGTTTTGATTTGTATTTCCCTGATGCCAAGTGATATGGAGCACTTTTTCCTGTCTGTTGGCCATCTGGATGTCTTCTTTGCAGAAATGTCTGTTCATGTCCTCTGCCCATTTCTTGATTGGATTATTTGTTCTTTGGGTGTTTGGTAAGTTCTTTATAGATTTTGGATGCTAGCCCTTTATC